AGTCGGATGTACGGTCAACTTTTCCAGCGACTTATTTCACGTTGTTATTATATTTTGTCCTCCTGTTGCTTTTATTAGACAGCTGCTACACATATTCCTTCCCCCTTCTAAATCATTTTGCGCTTTAAATAAACATTTTTTAATTTTTATCCTTGTTCAAGGACGGGAAATCAGAAATTCGTACAATTGGTAAATATGAGTCCTTTCGTGGAAAGACAGCGCACAGACTGTCTGGAATATTAATGGTGTAGTCTGCTCTAATACAGCAGACAGCATTAGACTGTGCAGTGAAATTTCGTTCTGGTATTTTTGGCATTACCAGTGAGCCACGCGGTCAGCTAGGATCAAGGGTGGATAATAACGAACTGAAAGTTACCGTCGAGATAGAGCTATCTTGGAGTTCACACAATGTATCACTGATTGTTGGTGTTAGCAAGCAACCCCATATTAACTCACTTCACTAAAGTCAGTAAAGTGAAAAATTTAGATAGGTTGCTTCCACGTGAACTGAATGACAAGCAGAAATAACAGCATTTGAAAGCTTGCACAATGTTGCTTTCTCGTTATTTTAGAAAAAATCGATTTGTAGCCTATGATGAGGACAAGATCCAATCCGATAATCGTAAATGTGCAGAACAGGGCTTGGACAGGGAAAAGTCACCAAACGCAGCCCAAAATGCAATATTCATCAAAAGAAGTAGATGGCGAGTGGTTAGAGGTCTAGCGCAGGGTTGTGATCCATTAGGATGTCGTGAAACAAGGCTCATCAATCAGGATGGAAGTATCCTGCAACTGACTGTACTGAATGTTCCCAAAAAGTTGCCGAAGAACAGTCGAGATTGGTCGACTGATTGACTCCTATTCCGCTGCACAACAGGGCTAGAACATACACCGGGCAAATGACGGCGGCAAACATGCAGGAGTTGGAGTCAGAAGTTATCCATCATCCAACATATGCATTCCAGTCTCCCTTGTCTTTGCCGGCAATAATATCTACCTACACTATTGGGTCCTATGACTGTCAGGGCCTCTGTAGATGCCCAAGGCAGAGCGGGACAGTTGAATTCCGCTAGCGGTTAGGTGAACGTTCATCAACGAGTGTCACTATCCCCTGACTTAAAACGGCAAAACAACGAGCTGGTGGCTCAATGGTTAGAGCGTTTGACTCTGATCAAAAAGGTCGCGAATTCGGGGCTCGGATGGGACACCACTTGGGTCTAGGTATGACTAGCTGACGACGGCTAAAAAGCTAGAAATGACCATTCCAGTCTTCCTTGTCTTTACCAGAAATATTATCTGTCAATACGCACTAGATCGTGTCTCCCCCCTTCCCACCAACTACTACATCTTCCGAAAGTATGATAACAATTTTCATAGGAAGGCAATTTATATTCTCATTATCTTATAAAAAAGCCTCCCAAGATTGAACTGACTCTCGATTACACCACCGGGCTGAATCAGCTATCACTGAAGTAGTAAAAGTCTACTGACAATATCGGGGCATACTTCGGTTAATTAGACTATATTTTTTATTCATGGAATGGTTCCAATGTTTTTTCTACGAATTTCATACCTGATGACTCTATACATATATTGTCTTTAGACCAATTGAGGGTTCTTTTTAAGAAAATCGTCTAGGCGGTGATGGGAGTTTGCATCTACGCAAGCTAAAGAGCAAGATATCTCTATATTCTCCACGTCACAGAACAGCTTGCAGGCATAAACCAACTGAGGTCAGAGTGAATTTAACCTGCTCCAGGCTGGGAGACCCGAGCAAAGTGGTCTAATCACTGGAACCGCTTAGGGCTATTTGGAGCACACCACTGGATGGTTGGAAGTGTCTGCATTTCACTAGAGCTGAGGCGCACGCGTAGGGAATCCGGCCCGGGAACCAGTGCGAACACTTGAAACTGCGCTCCCCAGCGTCCTCGCGTAATTAGATTATGATATGGGAACTCGACCGGTGATGACATTGGGCTTTCCTGCGAAGCTGGGGCCATCGATCTAGAATCCTTCCAGCCTGTCTTGAGCGAATGGCGATTTAGGACTATTCTCTGCACTTTTACAGTCTACGAAGAGTCCACATCGAAGCGTGCAAAGTTTGAGGTGGCTCACAAGCATGCACTTGGTCACTGAAAAGGGCACAGCCTCTAGAACCTACATGTCTGCATACTTCCCTCATTGCAGTTTCCATGATGACAAAAGACAACTATCAGACCTTCCTGAGTGCCTATCGAGTACTCAGCAGAAAGACTGCACAAACCCTGCCATCGAATCGATTGGCACACCAGCAAGTTCCCTAATTACTTCCTCTGGGCTCTAGCTGAGATCGTACAAGCATTTTTGGGTGTTGAGCGCTTGTGTGATCCCCGTCCGCTCGTAGGTCGTTGAACCCCCAAAAGCTAGCTAGGATATGTTGTCCCAAACTTCCTTATGTAAGACTGTATACGCCAGATATTTATCTATCCTGGTACTTCCCTACGTGTCTTTGGAAATACTTTTTCGCCTGAGGTCATGTCATGACACTAGCCTTACTATTAACCCTATCCTAACTGTCGACTTCATCTTATCCAGAATCTCCCGGAATTTCATACAAGGCAACCTGTAGGGTGGGGAGATTTCTATTCCAGTGTCCTACCGTTTCGAATTCACATTCGAACCAATCATCAGTGAGGCCAACTGATAAGGCTGAAGGACACACACATGAGGTGCAGTGTTTATCTGCCACCTGAACTACACTTACCTGTGCGTACAGCACCCCTATCCCTTGTTGTCCCTGGCGGTGGCTTCGAGCCCGAACACAAAACGACAGACGAATAAAATTCTTATCCCAGTAATCGCGTTTCCCTCTTCTCACCACCACCCCCCCCCTCTTCCTGGAACTGGAACGTTCGCTTTTGTCGAGGTCGAACTACTTTAATGTCTTTATTTTTGCCAAAATCGCTCCCTCCTGGCCAAGTTTGAAGACTAAGGGGGAACGCGGATGGATTTCGTCTGCCAGCAGCAGACGAAACTCTTATGCGTTTCCAGGTACCTTGGTGGTAGATCCCCATCCATCCACTAGGTGACAGAGGCCCGGCCAGCCAACTGGAGCGTGAGGGGGGAGGAGGAAGGCCGAAACAGAGGAATCGACAACCTCAAAAAGACAGCGCATTCCTCGCTAGAGTAAATCGATCATGTTTGCATGTATCACGGCAAAGTTGACGGCAATTGCTCGGTCCTCATGGGAGCGTTTTGGAGTGACTGCGATTCAGGCCACAAGGCCTCCCTCTATAGAGGATATTGATTACACGCCCCATGCATGTCAGATTCAAGCCACCTTATGAAAGCCTGGTGCACAGAGCGGGCCGCTAGTCGTGTGTGTGGAACGTGTAGACGGGCCTTTTTCGTCAGTTATTGCACCTACAATCACCTCCGGCCGTTCTGACGACATTTTTCTGTCAAAGAGGCAAGATGAGCACGGCAGAACCGAGTGCGCTAGATACTGTGCCAGTCTGCCTCACTGGTGAAGCAGCGCTAAAAGTTGTCACTTGTGCCTGTTAGACTGCTGCTTATGTAGATGTTCCCAAACTCGTTTACTGATCCCGAATTTTTCAAACGTTATATACTGAAGGGGGATTCAAACTGTAAGAATGCTGACCGTAAACACAACATGTCTACGACGTTAGCAATCAGATGAGCTTCCTCTTAACTACCTATTTACCTTAACTTCGAGAGCAATAATCATGTAGCGCTATTAGAGCAGAGAAGTTTATTCGTCTGAACAGTGTTAGATATCACAAAAGTGTTCGGGGGAGGGTAAAAGGTTGTGTGTCAGGAGGGAGCAGGAAGAATATACAGGGTACATCAAGACGCACCGGACGGCAGCTACATTTCAACACTCGCAGTCAGGTCAGCAGAAGGCAAACTTACGATCTAAAGAGGCCGCCGCCGCCGCTGCCGACTCGGGATCTCGTTATAAGAGGCCTGAGCACCGCATGCCGCTCAGCTCAAGTAAATCCGAGTCGTTCCAGGCGCCTGGGGGCAGCTCACTGTCCGTGTAGCACCCAGCCGTACGCCAGTGCATCCTCAGTCCATTCTGGCTGACGTATTTGCGTCGGCATTTGGGACAGGAAAATGGCTTTTCGTTGGCGTGCAGACGCCTGTGCAATTTTAAATGCACAAATTGAGTGAACTTCGCGGGGCAGAGCTTGCAGTTGAAGGGTTTCTCTCCGCTGTGCAAACGCAAATGCGTCTTCAGGTTGCTGGTGCTACTGAAACGCTTGTGGCAGACAGCACACTGATGTGGCTTCTCCCCTGTGTGTACCAGATGGTGCTTCTGCAGATGCGCTAGCTGGGTGAAACCCTTGGAGCAGACTGAGCAAGTGAAGGGTCGCTCGCCAGTGTGGGTGCGTAGGTGCACCTTCAGGTTGGACAACTGGCCGAACGTCTTTTGGCAGATATTGCACTCATAATGCATTCTCCCATTTTTCTTGGCCAGTGGAAAGGGCAGTGTCCGATAGCCCCGTGAATGGGGCGACAGCCTGTTTGC